TCTCTATAACATAGATAGAGAATATGCGTGACAGATGGTCTATTTGTCCAGGACAAAATTCTGTCATGTTGTTAAAGGGCGACGAACATAAAAGTTTTACATTTCAAGGGCATGGGTCTGGTGATTAAGGGCGATAAGTACTCATTAGGGTAACTATCAATAACTGCCAAACCCTACAACTTATCTGACAAAGAATGTTGTTGGCTAGTAGATTCAGACATCAATTGGTTAGTATACGATGCACTAGAATACTGGCTGGAGCATAGCTATGATAAGTCAATGATTATGGGAAAAGAAATCCAGAATGGTCACAGTGAACGGCGAGAGAAAACAGATGAATGTTATTTTGGGTAATAAATGATGTAAACAATAAGGATGAGAAACAGTTCATAACATCTGAAGCAACATAACAACTAATGGAAGGGATGTCTGCAGCTATGGCAACCCACTGGGAAAAAAAGATTGGAACTGCAGCTTCCATAAACAGTTTGTGACAGAAAATACCAAAGAAAAGAAGTCAGAAATAAAATAAAAATATCTTCTTAATGTTGTTAGGAGACAGTATTTGTCATAGTAGATGTTATCAAGAACGTTTCGTGTTTAGTTGAATATCAGCACATAAGAGAAAGAGGAGATAAAAAGGGAAAAAATGATTAAGCATGGAACTCTACTAGACAAACACATTTTTCAATTTGATTGGTAGTATAAGTACAGTAATTTATTGGTAACATTGATATATGGTTCTGCCTAGGCAACTAGGTCATAAAATCAGAGACAGTGAGGCCACTTGCAATTCCAATGGGATTCGATCTTGCTGTGGTATCAAAAGCATGCTTATACTAAATAGCGCTGCTTCTCAAAATGTTCGCACTTCCATAAGCAGAGTTGAAAAATACAATTAAAAATACCTTTACGTTTCTGAAGATTTATAATGGTAACACTTTTCAATATAACCTTTGCATATTTATATAGTGTAAAAAATAAATTTCGTTTTTGGTAAGTAAAAAAAAGAAAATACTGTCGTGTCCATTCGCATTTTCAATAAATTCTAAAAGTTTATAGACAACGGGTGTCCCTCGGTGGGGCAGCGGTAAGCCTACGGACTTTAAAAAACCGTAAATTCTAGGGGTTGACTCTCTGCTGTGGACACAGCAAAGCGCCTAATGTGGCTTTGTTCTAAAATAAACAAACATAACAGGCCTATAATACATGGTTAATTTATAAACAGACTTACAAATACACGAGATTGGTACTTTACACAATTTTATTAAAAGAGTAATGTTAGAGCACATTATACTGCTAAATGTTGCAAGACATTACAACTATCCTGTCCCACTCATCAAATTTACGAATGGAATATTTTAATACTACAGAGTGGTTCGTTATTACAGTCCAAACCTTTTGGTAATGCATTTTTATTTAATGCAGCTTTTGATATGTGCTTCTACTAGGTTGATTTCCAGGTTCCCTTGGTATTTGTCCAAGCTTGATGTGCTCTAGTGTCTTTTGCTTGAGTTGTAATTAATATAGATCTTTTAGTGACAAAGATTTGTTTAGAGAAATAAAAGGTATGACTTTTAACGATAGGAACATAAAATGGTAGGTTTCTCTAATTTTTTGTTATAAAATTTCGTCAAGTGTAGGGTTTATTTGAAAAACTATATAAAAGGTTGAGCACATTATATTAAAACGATTTTGTAGCTTCACCGTGTAGTTAAATCCATGTCGTCACATTTGGCCATACTCTGACTGTAACTTTTGACAACAATCTTACAACGTAGTTTTTATTGCTAAAGACTCCTTCACAAAGTTGTCACCTTCAAACACATCTGTCCTCTCTGTGTACTTTTATAATCCACCTAGTGTCTGAGGACAACATTATCCCAGTGACTGTTTTGACAGTGAAATCGCACAAAAGTCTATAGACACTGTTTCCAGATGCTTGAGAAGAGACTCGTGTAGCGTTTCCAGATAGGGATCCTTCTTGATTATGTAGCATAATGTTGCCTGGGGCTATTAACTTTTGTTTGCGGATTCTCACCTGTTACAAGATGTCATACTTTGCTTACCCCAGCTGGGATACGACTTGTTGCAGGTACCTTTCTGGATGGTCCTGGTATCCCAAGTTTATCCATGTTACTTTGTTTTCCAATGCTAAGAAACACAAAGGATATTTCCGTCTTTGAAATTCTAATTCCCCGATAGGAACTTATCTTTATGATCTGAGAGTATGAATATTTTGTCAGGAAGGGTCATCACACAACCTTTGAAATGGCAAGCAATGTCAAAATGCAGTTCTGATACATTCTATTCCACTGTGACTATATGCCAGCTATGGTTTTCATGGAATTTGCTGGTTTGCATATTCAAAATTATTTTAATATAAACTAAAACCTCTGTATAACTGTCACCATGTCACGTATCCTTCATTGTCCCATTTGTTTGTTCTAAACTCAGAAATCTTTTGTTTTTTAAAACCAAAAGAAACATATACAGACTTAAATTATGGACGAAAAATGAACGGGCTGCTACGTTCTGTAAATGAGTTTTCAATATTGCTTTACTTCAGGAAAATGTCAGGTTTAATTATATTCAACTACTTTATTATTATTTTGAAAATCTAGGTAAACACACAGGTATTCCTAACCAAAACTAACTGAAGCTTTGACTATAAACCAGGACTGCTTTAAAATCGTAATTTTATGTTTGGGTTCAGTTTTATGTAAGCCCACCTTAGATTGTTTGTAATTAAGCACAAAGCTACACAGTGGACTATCTGTGCTCTGTCCACCACGGATATCGAAACCCGGATTCTAGTGTTGTAAATCCACAGACATACCGCTGCGCCACTGGGAGGCCACACTTTAGAAGACTGTGCAATGATGGTTGTATGGATTTTTTTTTTTCATGCATGTTTAAG